AGGGCGGCGGCCCCTCCCCAGGGTGCAGCCGCGCAAAGGGCGGTATGAACTGGTCAAGGTACCGCTCAACATCCTTCATGCTGGTGCAGCGCAGCGGGCGCACCACTGAGAAGGGCTGGACCTGCGGCCAGGCGAGCAGGCACGCAGGTGGGTGGAGAGAGCCGCAGTAGCGCCACGTCATCATGGCTGGGAGGGGGCAGGGGGCAGGGGTCGCCCATGAAGCCTGGCAGCGCGGCGGCAGCGCGCAGGCAGCGGAGCGGCGGTGCCGGGTAAGAGCAGTGCCCCCCCTCCGCAGGCGGCGGGTGCGAGAGCGGCGAGCTGCGGGTGGCGCGCCCCTCACCGCTGCATATGCGTACTCGTGCTTGGCGGCATCCCACTTGATTGTGTCCACCGCCAGGTGCCACCGCCCGTGGCTGTCCGCCAGCAGCCAGCGGCGCAGCTGCACCGGCGGCTCCGGGTCGCACGTGCGCAGGTACTTTTCTACCCTGCGGTAGGCAGTGGCAGAGAGGCAGGGCGGATTGGATCAGGCGGCAGGAGGAACCAACCACGCAGCTGGCAGGCGGCCAAGCCGGCCTGGATGCGCAGACGGGCCGGCAGGCCGCACAGCTGGCGGCAGCGGCTCGGCAGGGCCGTGCGCGTGAGCGCCCTCGATGGCAAGGCGACCAAAGCGCGGCCCTGCGACACGAGCGGGCAGCGGACCTGTAATTCACAAAGTGCAGCGGCTGCGGGGGCACCGGAGCGACTGCCATTGCCGCGGCAGGTGGCGGAAGCGGCGCGGCCGCGGTGGCTGCCGACGCCGTCGCCGGCTCTGCCGCTGCACCGGGGACGGACTCCACCCGCGCCGTGGTTTCAGCCAGCTGCGCCTGCGCCTGCGCCAGCGCCCCTGCCGCCGCATCCACAGCAGCGGCGGCGATGGCCGCGGGGGCGGGCTGCGCCGGCTGCGCGGGTGGCGCATCCATGGGCGCCGCCTCGCCGCCCTCATGCGTGGGCCGCCCTCCCAGCCCTTGCGCTGCACCTTCATGCTGCTGCTGCTGCTGTTGCTCCTGGTCCTGCTGTTGCTGCTGCTGCTGTTGCTGCTGCTGCTGCTGCTGTTGCTGCTGCTGCTGCTGCTGCTGCTGGTCCCAGTCATGCTCAGAGGCGAGGGCATACTCGATATGAATGTCTGCCGATGCAGCCGCCAGGTCTCCGCCGCTCAAGCTTAAGGCCGGGACTGCCTTGGGGGTTAAGCCCGCTGACCCGCCCCCGAGCGTGCCCAGGTCTAGCCACTCGTTGCGCCGCTGATGGCTCCCAGTGAGGACAAAGGGCGGCGAGCTGGGGACGGGAGAGTGGAAGCCGCCTTGTGCTGCCGGCGAGACCGGCGGCGGCCGCGCCGCCGCTGTTGGCGACCCTGCCGCAAGCCCATCTGCTGCTTCCATGGCTGCAGCAGCAGCCTGCAGCAGCAGCTTGGAGACAGAGAAACAGGGCAACTTGCAAAGTTTTGCAAGCTGCGTTGCGGCGATGCCGCCCGGGTAATAGCTAATTTGATGGCTGCATCCAGTGCCATCAATTTACACAAATCGCGCGAGCCCAGAGCCAAAACTTACCGCTGCAGCACTTCAGCAAGTTTGTCGTCTTAAATCTGCTGCCGCCGTGTTCAATTCTTGCACACACGTGTGCAGTGTCAGCAGGAATGCCTACAAGGAGCAGCGGCGCCACCACGGAGTTTCATCAAGGTGGTGACTTTCCTCCCGCCACCGCAGCGGTGGTGCCGCCAAAATGCACCTCATCTCACTTCCTTTCCTGTGCAGGGCAAGCTCTCAGGGAAGCTGATTACCTATCAGGATGGCTGGAACGATTGACATCATGCTATGGAACGACAGAGGTGGTCACAGAGCCCAACAGAGCAGTTCGGCAGTTTTGCGGTACGGGCGTGCAAGCACGAGTGGATGCATTCAAAAGGCGAACAAAAGGCACACAGAAAAATAAGGAATAGGGATATGGAAAACATGTCTGAAGCTACATGTGAAAAAGTGCTGAGCTGCTGGGCAGCTTGGCGGGGGCACGTCGCGTCACCTGGCCGCCACCCTTGGACACCCGCCGACGCCTAGATCGAGTTGCGGCGCCGAAGCGGCGGCACCGCCCCCGGGGACCGCGCCGCCTGCTGCGCCTGCTGCTGCCGCTGCTGCTGCTCGCGGTGGCGCGCCACCACGGTGGCGACAGCCGCCACCAGCGCATCAGGGTCGTAGTGCACGCCGCGGCCGTCGGGGCTGGGCACCGAGGGCACCTCCACAATCTGGCGCACCCCCAGCCGCTCCAGGCTGGCGCAGTCCACCGCGATGGGGCTGCCGGCCGGCACAAGCACCGCGGTGACGTAGACGGAGGGCGGGAAGCCCAGCCGGTGCGTGCGCTTAGATGCTCGCCGGTTCAGCGCGTCTGTGCGGGGGGTGGGGCCAGGAACAGTGAGCTAGTGAGCGAGGAAGCCAGCGAAGTCACGAATGAGCAAGGATGGACGGACCCAAAACACAAAGAAGGAAGGCAACGTCAGCCGTGGCACGGCCAGGCGCCTGCGGCTGTGATGCCAGCCCTGGCGCCCCCGCCCCACCTGCCGTGGCCTGCACCATGTCTGCCGCCGTCATGGGGCCGCTGTGCTGGGGGCAGCACGACGTCTCGCGGTCAAGCGCGCCGTTGAGCATGAAGATCTGCGGCGGAGGCAGGACGCAGGTACAGGCGGCAGGGGTTGCCGCTGCGGATGTGCTGGTGGAAAACACAAAAAGGCAGGGACAGCCCAGCTGGGGCGACCTTGGAGCCAACACCACCCAAATCAGGCCATGCACCAGCCGCTCTCCCACAGGCCCACCTTGGGCACGGCGGCGGCGGCGATGCACTCGCCCACGCCCTTGAGGACCAGGGAGGGGGCGATGGATGTGTAGAGCGATCCCATGCCGTAGATGACGGCGTCGGCGCGCTCCAGCTCAGCCAGCACGCGCGGGTTGGGCGCAGGTGCCACCTCGTGCTCGTGCGTGTCGCCCTCTGCATGCGCCGCAGCAGGCAGGCAGGCGCAGGCGGGCGCGGGCAGGAGCGCAAGGTGAGAGCCCGAGCCTCCAGCCAGCCCAGCGAGGCGCAAATGCGTCAGCGACCCGGCATCTAGGTGTGAACCCAGCGTCCAGCGCGCGAACCGCACCCAAAGCTTTGCTGCTGCGAGGCGCCGCTGTGCGCACAGCACAGCACAGCACAGGCACAGCACAGCACAGCGCAGCACAGCACGGCGCAGCGCGGTGCAGCGCAGCGTGCCTGCCGACAGGTAGAAGATGCGCTTGACGGGCGCCTCCAGCCGCTCCTCGCACGACTTGTCCACCTCGCGGGGGGAGTCTGCGGGGCGGGGAAGGGAGCGAGAGGAGAGGCGGGGCAAGCTGGTCTGGGGACCTGTGAACATTTAGGGAGGGCAGAACAGCACAACGGCTGGCTGCCAACAAGGTGGGCTGGCTGCCAACAAGGTGGGCTGCGGCAGGAGCAGCAGGGCGCGCCTGTGGCGCTTGGGTGCGAGATCTGGTGCTGCCCCACGATCAGCCTGCCATCCAGCAGCTCAGCCCCCAACGTGATGTGCTCCTCTGCAGGTAGGGCTGGGGCCGGGGAAGCGGGTGGGCAGGTGGCGGGCGCGTGACATGTTGCTGAGCCCCTCTCAGCAGCCATGGCACCCACACCTGTGCAGATGGCGGGCAGCACGAGGGACCCCTCTGGGATGCGTGCCACACGGGAGAAGAGGAAGATGGCGGCTTCCAGCGACCTGCGTAGGCAGCGGCAGGGTGCACCAGGCTGGGGAGGGTGTCGCATGGGCAGCAAGGGGCTGGGCACGGTGGGGCACACTCTACCAGGGCAGGTGACGCCTGCCCTGGTGGAGGTCAGCCCTCCCTATGAGCTGGCCAGGACCAAACGACAGCATGCGTCCCTGGTCAACAGGCAGCCCAGCAGCCCAGCAGCCCGGCGCTGCCTGCTGCCCGCTGGCACCATCCACCTGAAGAAGATGCGCGCCCCCGCAAAGAAGAAGTTGCCGACCGAGCCGCCGCGGTAGTCGAATCGCTTGGTGGACTGGCGCATGATGTTGGCGTGGAAGTGGACCAGGAAGGAGCGGATGATGTCCTTGTAGGCGTCGCTGATGCCCTGCAGGGGGGGCAGTGTGGGGAGGTGATGGCGGGAGGGTGAGTGGGTGGCTTGTTGGGGTGCCGCACGGCGACGCCGCTGCGCGGCATTCGGCAGAGGCCACCAGCCAGCAGCTGCGACCATCCTGCAGGCTGCCAGACGTGCTCGCTTGCGCCGAGGCCTGCATCCCCACCCCACCCAGCCCGTCGCCCTCCCTCCCCACGCACCTCCCACAGCGCGTCCTCCCCCTCCACAATCGAGTACCACTCCAGCTTGGCCGCGCGCGAGTCCTTGCCGTGCAGTCGGTGCGCCAGCAGGCGCCGCACCGCACGCGCCTCCTCGTCGCTGTCGTCTGCAGCACGCGGCGCCCAGCAAGCGCGTCCATCGTGCGTCTGCTCTTGCAGCTAGCCCAGCCCCTCGCCCTGGCCCCAACCTCAACATCGCCGCTCCCCACACCTCCACCATCCCTCCCCACCTGCCAGGCGCAGGCATCGGCTGCGGATGTCGCCGACCGCAGGGCCGCCCAGCACGCGCACAATCTCCGCGGTGCTGCCCCCATCATCCGACACGGGCAGGACGTGCGCGATGCGGGTGGTCAGCTGCCGCATGTGGCCCGCCACGCTGTTGAAGGCGGTGCCGCCGCTGAACACCACCAGGGATGGCTCCCAGGGCAGCTGCTCGTGCTGCTCGGCGGCCAAGGCGGCGGCGGCGGCCGGGGTGGCCCCAGGGGACCGCGGGTCGGCCACGGGCAGGCTGAGCATGCGGAACAGGTGGCTCTCCATGCTGGCACCTGCACCTGCACGCACGCACAGGGCAGGACAGGGCATGATTGTGTCAGGCAGACATGGAGGATGAGACAGTGCTGCAGCAGACCCATGCAGCTGGCACGAGCCACTGCTGCAGGCAGCGCACCGTTGGTGTGGGCGGCGGTGGCGGCAGCGGCGGCAACACTTCGGGGCGGCTCCTGCTGCTGCTGCGCTGCGCTGCTGCACTGTACTCCTTCTCCTGGGGTCCTAGGGCTGCGCTGGGGGCAGCGGCTTGGCCAGCTAGAGCGCTGCTGCGTCCAAGCACTGGCTGAGGGCGCTGGCGCAGCGCCGCGTATCATAGACATGCTATCGACAAGATTCCCGACTGCATCGGCCTGTCGAGAGGAGCGGGGTTGAAAGGGTGCGGATTGCAGGCACTGCGGAGCCGAGCTCAACGCCGCGGGCTCCTGGCCTGCTGAAACTGCACAATTGGATGCAATCAAGTGATCGGAGCTAGTGCAGGCGAGGCAAAGACCCCAAGACGTCACGGAGAGCGGCTTGTCCAAAACGCTGAGCTGGAGTTCACATAAACCGTCGTCTGAGCCGTGATACGCAGCTGTTTCTGAACATCTGCATCTCAAGGGCATTGCCGGCGGGTCCCTTGTGACCACTGCTGACCAAGCCGTGTTGTGCAGAGCCTGGTGGGCCTCGGTTTCCTGCGCAACCCTGCTGGGAGCGGCCTCCTTCCATTCTGGCATTAGTGGCGGCCGGCAGAGGGCGACACAGCTCGGGTCCCCTGATCGAGCCCGTGTGTTTCAGACCTAGAGCAGGTTGTGCGAGACAGGGGTGAGCCACAAGCCTCTCGGAGCGGCTGCAATGGCAGCTATGCTGCGCACCAGGCGCCAAAAGGCGGCGGAGGCGGCGGCCGCAGGCGGCGACGAGCAAGTGGTGGCACTGGAGCGTGAGAACCAGCGCCTGCGCGACCTGGTGAGCGCTAGCCTGCTGCTCCACCCACCTTGTCAGTGTGCAGCGAATAGGGGGCAACATTCTGGGCTGCAGCCCTGCAGCAGGCCATGCCTGCTCGCATCCCGGCCTCGGGTTTCTGCAGTACGTTGGCCGACGCCGGCACACCTCTCCTTGCCCGCCGCGCCTGCAGCTGGCGGAGCAGGCTGAGCAGGGCGCCACCAAGAGCAGCTACCTGTTCAAGTACCGCGGCCACGCCACCGCCTCGCTGTGGGCGCCCACCTGGGAGCTGCGGTGCGCGCTCAGCTACCCTCCATTCCGCGTCGCCATGCCTGGCGCCATCTCTGCACCACCGCTGCCATTGACAGGCATCTGAAGCTATGCCTGGGGGCCTTGCGGCGTGCCTGGTTCGCCCCCGCCTCTCACCCCTGCTCCTGGCTTCCCCTCCCGGCCGCAGGTATGTGATCCTCAAGGGCTCCACCCTCACCTACTTCAAGAGCGAGCGCGACGTGCAGTTCCCGCCCCGCGGCCGCATCGACCTGGGCGCCGGCGCCGCCGTGGAGCTGGAGGGGCTCAAGCGGCGGCGCCACTGGACCTGGAAGATTGTGGATAAGCAGGCGAGGCATCTACCGGGAGCACCAGCCTCCTGTCGGGAGCGGGCAGTCCACACCAGCTGCTGCTTGGACGCCTGCTCACTGGGGCTATCGTCCCTGCCGCAGGGTGTGAGCCTCATCCGCTTGAGCACGGAGGTCCAGTCTGAGTACAACTCGTGGATTGAGGCGCTGGAGCGCGCCGGGTGCGCTGTCAAGGTGGGCGACAAGCCAAGGTGGTGTGTGACGGTTGCTGCTGTGCGGGGTGTGCGTCGGGGAGGTTGCCTGCCAGCAACTGCTTCAGTGGAAACCTGCGGCGGCGCGGGCACGGAGTTTCCTGGCCGCCTGCATGCCCCACCATGTATGCGGCGCCCTCACCCCCACCAATACTCGCGTCCCGCAGCGCATGGACGAGAGCTTCAGCCAGGGGTCGCAGCAGAGCCACCCGCACCAGGGCGCCAGCCCCACCGCCAGCCAGCTGTCAGACAGCGACGCGGCGACCTACCGCGGCCGCGTGCCCTTCAGCTCGCCGCACCTGGGGCCCGCCGGGGGCGGCCAGGAGGCGGACAGCGGCGCCACACCGCCCCCGCAGGCCTCGCACCAGCGCCAGCAGCAGCAGCACCAGCACCAGCACCAGGGCTACACATCTGACCAGTCGGGTGAGGGGGAGGGGACCCAGCTGCTGCGTGCTTGGCTGGCTGGGTGGCTGTTCATCCAAGTTGAGGATCCCCCGAGACACAAGGCCGTTCCTCAGCACCAGCCCTCGTCCCTGTGCGCTTGCCTGCCTCCCCTCTCCTGCAGACGTGGGACGCGCCCACGCGCCCAAGCTGCGCAGGCAGCGCAGCGGGGCGGTGGTGCGGGAGACGATGCGCGCGTCGGCGCCGGTGTGCTGCGCCCCGCGCGCCTCCCTGCTCTCCTCGGAACGCATTCGCCTGCTGGACCAGCGGGGTAGGGCTGCCTCCTGCCGCTGGGCGGCGCAGCCGCTTTGCATGTGCATGCCGCCCGCAGCAGCCCCGACCCGGCCCGCATGCTGTCGCCGGGCGCCCACACACAGCTGTTGAATCCCACCTTTGTCCGCCCTGGTGGCCGCCCTTTGCGCCCCGACGGCGGGTGGTGGTGGGACACCCCAGCTGTGTTCTTGGGTGTCTGGCCACAGCATGCAGGCGGGACAGAGGCCTGCTGCACGCTGCGCGCTGCGTCTTGCGCCTTTGAAAGATGCGGCCGCCAGCCCGTGTGCCTCGAGTGCCGCCGCCGCTCACCCGTCCCCCCTTGAACTCTCAATCACGCCCCACCCCACGCCCCATCACCCACCATATGCCACACCACACGCACCCCACCTTAACCTCCCTCCTCTTCTCCCACCCTCCTCCTCCCCTCCCCTCTCTCCCACCCCACCCCCACCCAGGCGTCATCACCCTGGTCTTCCTCATCCTGGCCGCCACCAACTTCCGCCTCATCCTGGAGAACATGATCAAGTATAGGCTGAGGTTCAACCCGCTCACATTCCTGCGCACCGCGCTCACGCCCTCGGGTGAGCAGCAGGGCCTTCCTGTTTTTCAAAGTTCAGGAGAAGCAGCGCCGCCCCTGTCGCAGCTGCTCACACCTGGTGCCCCTCCGGCAGCTGGCGATGGCTCGTGGCTCCAGGCCGCGGCTGCCGGCGTCCACCCTGCCCCTGCCCACGGCGCGCCGTCCGCCCTGCAGGCAACCTGCCGCTGCTGCTGTGCTGGCCGCTGCTGGCCTGCTTCGCGCTGTGCGCGCTGGGCATCGAGCGCTTTGCGGTGCGGCTGCTGGGCATGGAGCAGCGCTCGGTGGCGGCCAGCCGCAAGCGAGAGGTTGGCTACACCGAGATGAAGCGGGCGGCGGCGCGGAGGGCCAGCGCCACAGGTGGGCCTCAGCCCTGGGTCCCGTTCAACGTTGAAGCCCAGGCTAACCCTGGGTTTGGGTTGCGCTGAGCACACCTGCCATCCCCCAGCTGCTTCCACACGCTGCGCCGTCTGTCTGTGCGTGTGCGGTACCGCCCGTGCCCACCACCTGCGCACGCCCCTTGCCCCACCGCCCCCGCGCGCCGCAGAGCACCTGGTGTTCCTGCTCAACCTGCTCAACACCAGCGCCGCGCTGCTGGCCCCCTGCGCCATCATCCTGCACACCCGCGCCGAGCTGCTGCCCGGCTTTGCGCTCACCATGGCCACAATCGTGCTGTGGCTCAAGCTGGTGTCGTATGCGCACGTCAACTGGGACTACAGGTGGGCCGTGTGGGCTGTGCGTGTGTGTGCGGGGTGGTGGAGTGCCGATGGGAGGTGGGTGGGCTCGAGGGTGGTGGTGGAGGTGGCAGGCAGGCATGCCGGACCCCAGCCAGGGTGCAGGAGGCAACCGTGTTTCATAAGCTCCGCCATCCACCTGGTTCTCCAACATCCCACCCGCCCGCCTGCAGGACGGCGCGGCGGCGGGGCGAGGTGTGCCCCGGGGAGCGCGGCAGCGGGGTGGTGCCGGAGGGCGTGGAGGAGGAGCTGCGGTACCCCGAGAACATCGTGGCCGCCAACCTGGCATACTTCCTGCTGGCGCCCACGCTGTGCTACCAGCTCACCTACCCGCGCAGGTGCGGGGCGGGCAGATGCGGGAGGGGCAGATGCGGGAGGGGCAGAAGGGAGGCAGGCGCAGCTGAGGCTGGGGCTGTATGGCGGCGGCAGGGAGCAGATGTGGTGGCCTGCGTCCCCCCCGCCCAGCCTCTGTGTGCCCACCCCCTGCTCCGCCCTGCTGCTCCCGCCCCGCCCTCCTCCTGCTGCAGCAAGCGGTTCCGGGCACGGTGGATGGCCAAGAAGCTGCTGATGCTGACGGGGGGCCTGGGCCTGATGCTGTTCAGCATCGAGCAGTACATCCAGCCCACCATCGACAACAGCATGCGGCCGCTGAGGGAGATGGTGCGCGGCCTGCTCGAGCTCAGCGCCGTGCCTGGCTGCCCTGGCCAGGCGGCATGCTCCGTGCGATGGCCCTGCCAATGCACCGCATCCTGCCGCCCCCTTGCTGCTTTCCTCGCCGCCTCCGACCTCGCTTGCCTGGCCCCCGCGCCCGCGCAGGACTGGCTGCGCATGCTGGAGCGCATCCTCAAGCTGTCCATCCCCACCCTCTACTGGTGGCTGGCCATGTTCTACACGCTCTTCGACCTGTGGCTCAACATCATCGCAGAGCTGCTGCGCTTCGGGGACCGCGAGTTCTACAAGGTGCAGGCTGTGGGGGTGTGCGGGCTGTGTGGTTGTGTGCACGAGTGTCTGTTGTTGTGTGCACGAGTGGTGATGCTGTGCGCGTGGCGGGCAAGGGGCTTGCTCGGGAGCAGTGCTTGCCAGGGTGCCTCCTGGCCGCCTGTCCCTGCCTCCCACGGATGCACCGCTGCCAGGCAGATCTGCCTGCCTGCCTGCCTGCCCGCCTGCCCGCCTGCCTGCCTGCCTGCCTGCCTGCGTCTCACCCGCCCGGCCTGCCTGCCTGGCGCAGGAGTGGTGGAATGCCACCACCGTGGGCGAGTACTGGCGGCTGTGGAACCAGCCGGTGCACAAGTGGATGCTGCGACACGTCTACTTCCCGCTCATCCGCCACGGGGTGCCCAAGTTCCACGCAGGTTGGTTGGGCGGGGGCAGGGGACCGCGGGCGGGCGCTGGGCCGCGAGGCAGTGCAGCCCTGGGGTAGCCTGCATGCCCCGGGGACGAGGCAGCGGGGTGGAGTTCGGGCACCCCCTCCTGCTGCAGTGCCGATATGCTAGCATGGCTTGCCCTCTCCTGCGTTCTTGCCCCCCGCAGGCCTCATGGTGTTCTTTGTGAGCGCCGTGTTCCACGAGGTGCTGGTGGGCGTGCCGCTGCACATGCTGCGGCTGTGGGCCTTTTGGGGCCTCATGATGCAGGTGGGTGGGTGGCTCCGCTCCCCGCTGCAGCCCGCCGCCAGGCGCTGGGATGCTTGGAAGCTTCCCGCTGCTGGGCTCTGTCCTTGGCCAGCCAGAGTTGTGAAACCGCACCAGCCAGCTGCAGCCATGAAGCCGCATGCGCCGACCTTGCCTCCCCACCTCCGCCACCACCAGCCGCCCCGCCAACCGTGCATGCGCAGGTGCCGCTGATGATAGTGACGGAGTGGCTCAAGGGGCGGCTGCGGAGCGACCGCGTGGGCAACATCATCTTCTGGGTGTCCTTCTGCTTTGTGGGGCAGCCGCTGGCCATGATCCTGTACTATCACGACTTCCGCCAGGTGCGCTGTTGCACAGCCGCAGCATGTGCAACATGTATTGTTGCGGTACAGGACGGCGTCGGATGGTGGATGCTGCCGGGTTGAGGGGGGCTGTTGTTTCAGGCTGAGAAGCCTGAGAGTCGTCAGTGTGTGGCTGCCGCCTGGTCCTGCAGGGCTACACACACCCGCTGGCCGGGCTGAACACACCCCACCTCAAGCTGTGAGGCCATACACGCCGGCAGCTGAGAAGGGGAGAGATTTCATTGCTGTGGATGCATTTTTAATCAGAGTTGGAGCTCCATTCATCTGTAAATACACTAGAGATAGGGGAGCTGGCTCGGGAGCTGAAACAGCTGTCAGCTCATGCGCCGGCGCCCTGCGCATGCCAGTCATCCCTGCCTCTCTCATGTTTTCCGACTCGTTCCCCGTTCCATCTCCAGCTTGCAACATGTTGCGATTGGTCGCGGCTGTGTGTACAGCAGCCGTGATGGCTCGGCGAGGCCTCAAGAAGAAGTCTCTGTCCGCCTCAGGTGCGCGATCGGGCGGTGCGCGCCCACCTTAGATCACGGGGCTGCACCAAGGTCATTGCAAACAGCAGAAGCATGCCGAATGGCAACAGGCGCCGCGCTCCCGCCGTCCGCAGGCGCTGCCGCTGCTCTCGTGGTCGGCACCCTGCACCTCGCCTCTGGGGCTGGAGTTTGGCGTGACGCTGATCGTCTTCTACTTGACTAGCTCTAAGCTGACTCGTTGGCGGTCTGAGCTCAAGGCGCGGCTGGAGGCAGGGCACATGGCTGGCGGCCAGCGGGGCGCCGCCCAGGTCCTGGCCAACAGCGCGCTTGGCGGTTGCCTGGCCGTCGCCACCGCCTGGCTGCGGGCGGATGGCGGCCCCGGCTCGCCGGCGGCGGCACAGCTGACAGCCTGGGCCTTTGTTGCGTTCTACGCCTGCTGCTGCGCTGACACATGGAGCAGCGAGCTGGGCATCGCCAGCAGCTGTCCGCCACGCCTGATCACCACTGGGAGTGTGGTGCCGCCTGGCACCAATGGCGGCGTGTCCTCGCTGGGCACGGCGGCAGCAGCAGCAGGCGGCCTGCTCATGGGCGCCTGCTACGTGGCTGCCGCGGGGCTGTCGGCCGCCCTGGCTGCTGGCGCCGGCAACAACAGTGCTGCATCTGGGCCCGGCGCTTGCCAGACTGGTGCGGCGGCAGACTGGCGGCTGGTGCCGCTGGCTGTGGCAGCGGGCGTGGGCGGCTCACTGCTGGACAGCCTGCTAGGTGCCACGCTGCAGTTCAGCGGCGTCGACGAGCGCAGCGGCAAGGTGGTGTCTGGCATGCCCGCGGCGGGCACGCCGGCCGCTGCAGCGGTGCGCCACGTCAGCGGCCGCGATGTGCTCAGCAACACGGGCGTGAATGTGGCGGCCAGCCTGGCGACAGCTGCGCTGGCGGCGACGGCAGCATCACGCCTGCTGCCCCCGTGCTGAGTCGGCAGCTGCTCGGATGCGCTCTGCTCATCATGTGGCTGCCGCCTCTTTCTGGAAACCCTGCCTCCCCCGCCTCCCTTGCACCCCTGCCCCTGCCCCGGCTGGTGCAGACATTGGCCCACGGCACACGGCCCCATCAGCCACCAGCACCTGACAGACAGCAACATGGCGGCGGTCAGCGGGCCATGTCACCCCAAACCAAGCGCAGCAGGTGGCAGGATTGAAACTGGACAGTGTGCACTGCCGCCCCACTTTCATTTTCTACTATTGCTGTTCCTGGCAGTATGTTACAAGGTGATATGAGTTGATGTTCCTCAGCCTTTGCGCCTGATCAGTCGCGGCACGTGTTTTTGAAATCCACCAGAAGCTCAGCCAGCTGCCTCCGCATCTGAGAAGTCTCGTCATGTGCAGCGGCCTGCTCCTGCTGCCCTGCTGAGGTCTGGCCAATGCTGACGGAAACGGTTCGGCGGCGCTTGGCAGCCGTCTCCCCGTCGTTTACGCTGCTGTGCTTGCGGCTCCGAGTCGCGCGTCTGTTGCTTGGGCCGGCCTCGTCTTCAGCAAGCGCCAGCACCTCGTCCAGAGCTGCCTCATCGGCATCGGCCATGGACTTGGCCTCCGCTTCTGCCAGCGCCTCGTCCAGAGCTGCCGCATCGGCGTTGGCCTTGGACTTGGCCTCCGCTTCTGCCTCAGCCTTGAGGTTTTTATAGTGCAGCGGCACCAGCACAGGGTGCTTGGGCGTGTAGTACGCGAGAATCACGTGCAGCGGGCTGCCCTGGAAGCTCCACTCTGCACCAAAGCAGCATGAATGGCAGTGATGTGCAGTTTCATCAGCAAGCGCATCTAGTTAAGAAACCAAACCAGACCAGCAACTGCAGCTGCCGCAACTTACCGCCAGAAGGGCCTGGATCGGCAGGAGTCATGCAATACGCGCGCCATAGCTTCTTCTTCTTCTCGCGCCAGCCTTTGTCCACCTTCACCTCTTTCTCTTCCTGGTCAATGCTCCACAGCACCACCTCTGCAGCAGCAGCAAGGGCAGGCAGGCTGCTGCAGGTAGGCAGGCGGTATGCTCAGATGAGGCGTTGATAGGCGCAGCATCCAACGTTGCCCACCTGTGTCGTTCAGTGCCGTAAGGCACACCTCTTCTAGTTTTGCAAATTCCTGCCCCTGCTCCACCGCCCGGCGCTGTCGCTGGCGCAGCTCGCGGGCGATGATGTGCAGGATCTGGATACTGGCAGGCGAATACCAAGTGTCTGCCTCCTGAAGCCAGACGAAAGGCAAGGATGCTTGCAGTCAGAATCAGGTCATGCAGCCTAGGCAACTTGTCCATGAAGCCTGAAAAGACTGGGCAGGTGCAAAGCTCAAAGCAACATACCAGCTGCTGGGCAATGTACTGCTCTGCAGTCAGTTTGGGCTCATCCGCATCTCGTGCCATCTCGAGCACCTTCACAGAATGAAGTTGGGGCGGATGCGTAGCTGGCTCACTCAGTGGGCCAGGGCCCCCCATCAGTCTATAGCACTTGACAATCGCTCGCACCTTGTCCAGACGCTTCCTAAAGTCAGCGCCAGCTTCGCTCTCCAGCAGTCTGTGACTGAGTGCCAACATGCTGCGCAGACCTGCCACCATGCCGCTCCACGTTTTTTCTGCGGCGGATCCTGGGGCACTGCGGAGGCCACGCTGCAAGCAGCTTCATGATTGATTTACTGAGGATGCTGAGGACTCCAACTAAAGCAAAAATAGCCGAACAAAGCAGTTGTGTGACAGGAACCCACCAGCTCGCGAAGTGGCGTCGCCGCAGCAGCCAGGCCAACCATCACACCATCCTCGCGGTTCTCCGAGTCGAATGCATCTGCATGCAAACCCTTGTCCGACAAAAACTTGAACAGCTGCACCATGCGGTCTGGGCAGGGCAAACTTCTCCTGGGGATCGAAAGACCTACAGTAGCATCAGCAAGTGAAATCAGCATGCCCAGGTGCAACATTGTCTAATGGTCTAAAGCTAGACGTTAAAACCGGGAAGTTAAGCCTGTGGAGGCTCTTCCCCACCTTTACCTTTACCTTTACATTGGTTTGCAATCGGAGCGCCCCGCAGCTTGCTTGTGTGGGCTTAAAGTCTGGTAAAGCAAGAACTAGCTTGCAACATAGACTCCCCGCCGAAACGGGACGGGAACCGGGCGAAAGCAGAGAAAGCAATAAAACAGGGGTGGAGCAAGGCGACATGCAACGCAAGCAGCTGACAGGGCACGCATCGAAACGTGTGTATGACTGGCAAAGTGGCATGGCGCATTGGGGAGAAACGCAACGGTACGGGAGCATGGGCTGGCCAAACGGCAGTGCGGAACGCTAGGTCACTAGAAAAGCAGGGAAAGGCGCACTATGTATGCAATGAGGGCAGCCCCGGCTCGGGGCCGTTGAGAAAGCAGTGGGCGGGAGGGGGGAGGCCCCGGTGTGGGCGGGCCCCATCGAGGGGGGATGGGGCGCGCAAGCGGCCAGATGGGGCGGGGCGCGGGCGGCAGTGGAGTCCTGCGGCTGGGTGGGATATAGGGCAATGAGCGTTGAGCAGTGTGCGATGAGCAATGAGCAATGAGCAGTGAGCAGCCCCTCCCGAAACAAAGTGAAGCGCAGGACGGGGTCCGGTGGATGGGAGGCAAGGAAGCGCGGGGGGTTGCCACGTGCGCTACCGCCGCCGCCGCAGGCAGCACCCCTGCGGCGGCGGCAGCGGCAGCAAGCCGTGGACCCAAACGCCGTGCCGCCGCCGCCGCAGGCAGCACCCCTGCGACGGCGGCGGCAGCAAGCCGTGGACCGAAACGCCGTGCCGCCGAGTCCCGTGGCTGTGGCCGTGGGCTTCTGGCAGGAAGCTACGGCCGCAGCTCGGTGGCTCGGGGGCGTCGCAGCGTGCCGCCGCCGCCGCCGCGCTGCCCCCCGGGCACGGCGGCGGCGGCGGCAGCAAGCTTGGGCCCAAACGCCGTGCCGCCGAGTCCCGTGGCTGCGGCCGTAGACTGTGGGCCGGAAACTGCGGCCGCAGCTCGGCGGCACGCGGTTCTGTTCAAGTCGCCAAGCGTGCAGCAGCGCCGAACCACGCTTCCCGGCCTCGGCGCATGCCTTCAGGGGCCCCCTATCGCTGGGCGCACCCCTCCAACACCGAACATGCGCCCGGGGGGGAGGGCGGCCCGGGCTGCCCAGGCCAAAGTGGGCCGCCCTCGAGCAAGAGGCGGCCGGGCTGTGTGCTGAATGAATGAATGAAATGCAGCTGCCAGCGCATCGTACCAGGCTGGTGAGAACCCCCCAGATGCCCACAGCTCTGGCCTGCCCACTTCCATTGGAATGCACTTCTTGTCGGGCAGAAGCAAGTCGTTGCTGCGCTTGAAGGGGCGGATGTTCACCACTGCCAACTGCTCATCTGCTTCCTCATAGCCTATTATAGCCTATTATAGCCAACAGTAGCCCACCCGTCCGCTCACAGAGAGCCATCGCGCCGGCCTCGCGCCGATCACCCCCACACCCCCACCCTCCACACTCACCCACCCACCCATCAGCATGTCAAGCAGCGAGGGAGCCAGCCTTGGGCAGCGCAGCCAGCAGCCGATCAGCAACCCGGCCTCCCGGGCATCCCTGCGGCCCGATTTCCCCCATATCGTGGTCAAGGGGCTCGCTCTGGAGGCCGGTGGGGGCCTGGGGGCCGCAGTCGCAGCCTTCGTTTTGTTTTGCCGGGCCAGCCTTCACCTGCCAGTGCCTGACTGTGTGCCTGTGACCTGCGTTGAGATTCGGGTGCGTGGGGACGGGCGCAGCGAATGCCACCTGCGACTGACTCCTGCCCTGTGCGGCGCCCTGATGGGTGCCCGCCGCCGCCTTTCGTGGGCAGCACCAGAGGTCAGCATTGACCTCTGGCGCTCACCTGGGGAGCTACAATACCTCCATGAGCTGCGCCAGCAGCGCGCGGAGGAGCCCCCAGCGCGCCAGGTGGGGCGGGCTGCGACCTCTCGCTGGTGGCGAGCGGCTCCCCTCCCGCCGCCCTCAGCTGAAGTCGTTGCCGCCCCTGTTGCTGCTGCCCCTGCCCAGCCCACGCCTGCGCCGCCTACACTGCCTGCCGCCGCCGCCGCCGCTGCCGCCGCCGCCGCTGCCGCCGCCGCCGCTGCTGCCGCCGCCATGCCCATCGCCCGGCCGCACGCACGCCAGCCCGCCAGCCCGCCGCCAGCCAGCCAG